CAGCTACATACGATTTCTTTATTATTTAAAATACTAATGAGCTTCATCACTCACAAAATATACTGTAGTGCATAGAGGAAGCAGCGAACGATATGAATGGAAATTCTGCTGGGCTAGCATGATTCGTGAAGAGTGGCCATATTCATGTTTAAGCAATTAGGTTCTTAAATGAAAGAAGAAAAAGTGGACCAAGCTACTCCTTTACTCCAGTTATAGCTCCACTAGCGCAATGTATGGGTAGTTCGCTTGGATTCAAATACTTGTTGGACATTTGTCCATTCAAACTCAAATGGATGAATTTGAGACCATCAATTAATATATTTCAATCTACAGATACATTTCTTCTACATGGTGAGTGGGATTAGAGTTCTTCTCAAGAAAATGACGCTATCCATATGTGTCTACACCGTATGTGCACAGCATGCAACAATAGAATTTAAGTGGATGTGCTTTTATAACGCAGTATCAGCACAGAATCCTTTCCATACCACATAAAGAAAGACAAAGCAAAGTATAGTGAATTTTTAGCAGCAAAACTCTAGAAAGTTGACGCCATGCATGCATGCATAACATTTATAGCACCTTTTAAGTTATTCTGTTACATTATTCTGTTACTCAAATACAAGAGAACATCTTCTCTTCTCTTTAGTGATTTGTTAAAATAGGTATGTTTTGCTGTTTCTGTTTTAATGCAAATTATTTGTTTGCTTCTTTTTGACAGTGCAACGAGCTACGTAATGGCCTGTATTAAGTTATTACTAATATGATTGTTTTCTGAGACGTAAACGGCATTGAATGGACTACAAAAGTTCTTTCATGGAGAATGAAATTTCCATCCACAGCAATCAGGAATTGATTAGATATGATTTAAGAATTTTGAAAAAATGATTTTTAAGTCCCCATCTTAAAGGGCGGGAAATAAAAGTGTAATCCACTACAAGCCATATTTTGCCACCAAATTTTCCCACTCGCTTAGAATTATGGAAGGAGATGCTTAAGGATGGGCTGCGTGTGGCGCAGTGGCTGGAGGCGCCCTGCAGATCACACGTGGAATCGATCTCCGAGCTCATAGCTTTTCAAGCCTTCCATCCCTCCGGGGTCGGCAAATGGGTACCAGGCTTGTCTGAGAGGGTAGCAGCACTGAATCGATACATCGGTAGGCCACCGCTAGTTATTGTAAACGCCAGATATGCATTCAATCACCTCCAACGATAGTCAGTGAAGTTGAATGCATGGCGCATCCCTCAGGGATAGACCAACGCCGGGAGCTTTATCCTTTTTTATGGCTACCGGTTTCATCACATTAAGACGGCGACAGGGCAAAATAGTACTGTATCACCTGTAGTCCCGTTGATCGTCTAGTTACCCGAGCGGGCGCCAGTAAATCTTCCATTTTTCCATGTCGGGTGTAAGAGTAGCCCAGTGCGTTCTGCTCGATCAAGGAACTCGTTGAGCGTCATAACTTTTTTTCAGGTTTTTTGTGAAAAACTCTGACCATCGGGTCGGTGGTCTTCCTGCAGTGCGTTTGACATCCCGAGGAATCCAGTCACTAACGGCTCCTTCCCATCGGTTGTCGTTCATACACATTACGTGTCCAGCCCACCTTATCTTCGACAGTTTGGCACACAGAACGGCATCTTTGATTTTTGATCGTTGACGCAGATCGGAGCTTCGGAACCCATTCTTTGCTTGTATGCAACGGTATACTCCTAGCATTGTCCTTTCGACTGCGCGTATGATAACGCTGAGTGATCCTTCATCCTGCTAAGGCAGCGACCAGGTTTCTGACGCATACATTAGGGCAGGAAGTACCGTTGAGTCGAAAATGTGGGCTCGGAGTCGGGTGTTCTTCGTTCTACTCACCACTTCCTCGATGCTCTTGAAAGCTCTCCAAGCCGCTCGTTTTCTTCTGCTCAGCTCTGGAGCAAGCTCACTCATTATATTGATTTCCTCAACTAGACAGACATAATTGGAGCATTCGGAGAATTTCGCTCCGTTGAGCGTGAATCAGGCATACAAAGCCAGTCAGCTCCTCATAAACATCGTTTTTGTGAGACTAAGTTGAAGACCAGTCTTTCCACAGGCTTTATCAAAGTCGTCAAGCAGTCTATCCGCTTGGCTAATATTTGGTGCTATTAAGACGATGTCATCAGTAAAGTGAAATTGGTGTTACTCTCGAATATTGATTTTCAATCCCATGTTATCCCGTTCCAGTGTTCGCATGGCGTTCTGGAGGATGGCGGTAAATAATTTTGGCGAGATAGCATCGCCTTGCCTAACTCTTCTTTTGAAGTCAATGTTAATATCGTTCTAGAATGGTGACACCTCGGTTGTGAAATTTTTTTACAGCCCACGAAGAATCTTCATGTACTGAGTAGGGACTCCTTGACTATCAAGGGCTTCCAAGGCTGTTTCTATCTCAACTGAATCAAAAACCCTCTGTAAATCGAAGAAAGTGAGACAGAGTGGACTTTTGTACTCTCGTGATACCTCCTTGAGCCTTGTTATCGCGTGGATGTGGCCCATCGTACTAAATCCCCTTCGAAACCCTTCTTGCTCACATGGCTGCTCTTCGCCCAGTGTTCTGTCAATCCTCTTTACAATTGCTCGAGTGAAAAGTTTGTAGACGACAAACAGTAAGCAGATCGGGCGATAGTTGCCGATATCGTGTAGGTCACCCTTCTCGAGCGTTAGCACGGTTTTGGTCGTCTTCTACTGAGTAGGGACCTTGCATTCAGACAGGTAACGTGTGAAGAGTCGAGCCAGTATGTTTACGAGGACTGGCGGAAGGTTCATCAGATGTTCTTGTCCTATCCTGTTCGGACCTGGTGCTGTTCGATTCTTCACCGACGAAATGGCATGTCGGATTTCGGAAGGGAGAACCGGTGGTACAATATATCCATCCTCTTTTACTTCATATGACGGAAGGTGGACGCGGCTATCGAAGAAATCCGAGTAGTATTCGTGAATGATTTTCTCCATTGCCTTTCTGGACGCTGTAACTGTTCCGTCTGGGCGCTGGAGAGCAATCATTTTGGTCTTGTAATTGGTAAAGCATCGGTGGGCTTTGCGAATGCTTTTCCCAGTCTCTGTAGCTTCGACCATTACTGCTGCTCTTCTCTCTTAAACATCTTTTTTATCGCCTGTCTGCACTGTTTTGCAAGTTCGGACGTTAGTTCGCGGTTGCCTGCAGCTCATGCGTTTCCACGCTGGCGTATCAGCTCGAGTGTTTCTGAAGACAAATGTCTCTTGGTGAATTTCGAACTCTTAGCATACTCAGCTCTTAAGTGAAGATGTTTAATGAGCCGATCGCATTCTTCGTCGATGTTATCGACAGCAGCATCTTCCCAACAGCCGACTAATGAATTGAATAAGTTCCAGTTTGCGGCACTTCTGGAACCTCGGTTTTGGAATTCAGCGGCTTTTTCTCATTTCCGCGAGGAATGGAATCTAGCACGAAGGAGACGATGGTCTGATCCTGTGTAGAATTTTAGGACAACAGCGACATCGGTTAGGGAAAACCTTCTTTTTACTATGATGTGGTCTATTTCGTTATGGTACTCTCCACTGGGACACTTCCACGTCCATCGTTGAGGACGGGGCTTCTGGAATTGCGAGTTACCATGGATTCTCTTGCTCGCCATGACATACTCAGACGGCCGCACACCCTGTTCGTTCCATTCTAGTCCGTGGGTTCCAATGTGACGTTCTGTAGACGTTCTTCTTGGTCCAATCTTGGCGTTGTAATCTCCGATAATGACCTTGAAGAATGTACGGTCTTCTCTGTAGAACTTCTCCAAGTCCATATAGAACGCTTCGACTTCTTCTTCGTCATAGTTTGACGTCGGCTCATAAAAGACGAAGATTGTTAAAGCTGGTACTGATCCACATCTTTTTAATCGTTAACGTCCGATTAGGGTTGTAAGCTGTTCGAATGAAACGATGATCGTGGACAAACTTGTGGTGACGAGAACACCGACGCCGCCGACTCCTCTACAGTCGCATGTTCCGAGGAACACTTCCTCTCCGGTGTCATAGACCGCGTTGAATGGGTGGCGTCGTCTACTCTCGGCCAGGCCGATGGCTTCATACCTTATCCTTCTTGCCTGCGTGAGCGAGTCTTCTATTGAGGACTCGGATGCAAGTGTACCTGCATTGTAGGTACAGATCGTCGCCATAGTTCTTTGGAAACCAGGCAGCTTCCATTGCTCTTGAGATTTCAGCAGCCTCTCCATACTCGTCCTACCCAACGCTGCGAAATTGGAGGCTCTTTCGGGGTCAGGGAAATGAGGCCCGGTTTTTTTTATTGTGTTTAGAATTTTTAATACCCACGTATAGCTTGCTGGGCTCTGAACGTGGGGCTAAGTATACTCACGTGTAGCTTTCTAGGCTCTCCTACAGTGAGCATGGAGCTTATTTGTTGGAGGCAACTCCTAACAGCCTCCCATATACTTCCCAGTCGTTTGATTGAAGGATTTTGGCCGAATTGACTCGTAGAATACAATCCGCATAGGCAAGAAAGCACCCACACACGCATTCATGAATACGCCTGGCAAATACAGAAATTATGTGCCAAGTCAGTGCAGCAAAAACAGGGTGTCCATCGGCTTGATCCACCTGCGTCTCAGAGAAGCATAAATTGCTTTAGGTTCGCGATTAACCCTCTATCTGCCACCTGGAGACTCGCCGCGTAGCCTCGCGACTAACCGGCCCGAGATCCCTCATATGAGGAGGATCCGTGAAGGACCGGCATGGTGTGGTGGTGAACGCGTTACTTTCCGGAAAATAGTACTAGGAACTAATATGGGGCCATCTATAACTTTACCGTTTGATAATGCTGCTGTTATGTCTCGAAAAGCAAGCAATCCCTACTCTACAGAAACGTTTCCTTTTTGACTGTTTATTGGTTACCCAAATATGATATGCACTGTGAGCTTTCACTAAACTCTTAAATACACTAGTATTCTCTCTTCCTCTCATCATTTTATCCTCTTCAGCGCATGTTCATCTATGTGAAATTCCTAATAGAAGTGAACAGATTGCGTTCTATGATAAAGGATCGCATGAGTCAAAGTGGAAAAAAGTACTTTGAGCCGCTTCTAAAAATAGCCGAAGAAAATCAGAAACAGGTAAGTGGGTTAAAGACTATGTTCAAGATAAGATTTAGCGGAAAATTTAGTGAACCTAGTACTGTACTTCTAGGCATCCCAGGCCACGGCTCCGAAGGAGAGCACGAAAAGTTTAAAAGTAGCAAAACTTGAAAAAGTGAGTGCCTGTTTTGATATCTTTTTTAAATTTACCTTTGAAAAAGTTTTTTCTGCAGGATTTTACGAATTCGTCCAATTTTAGGTCATAGCTTCCTCCAAGTTGAACGCCATGAGTGAAAGCGACGGATGTATTGACGACAACGACAAAGGACAACAACGAATCATAATTAACAAAAATACGAGAAGTTGTGGATTAAGTTCACCCGATAAATCTAGAAGTTCTCCAGCTCAAATGTCAGCGATGGTTCGCCTCGATGAAAGTGATTCGAATAAGGTATGTTTTTTAACACTTTGACACAATAAGGACTGGTAACCACAGACCATCCTCCTGAGAACGATTATTAGCCAGTTAGGCGCTAGATTTCTATCATGCATCAAGAATGTGGTGAATAGAGGTAGAACGCTAGAGACTATTCATGAGATGATGGTGAATTGAAGGTCGTTCACCTGTAAAACAAGGTCACACCTTCCACACATCGTTAAGGTCGGCATATCTGTTTGTAAGGGTCGAGCAAGCTGTGCTAATAAATAATTTCACATGACGAGCTTTCACAGGAAATTCAGTGGAAACATAAGGTTTTATATAATATGTGTTGTGCTCTTTGTGTTCTACAACTTGGCTCACCGTCTACCCGTAAATATCTTTCCATGACCGCACTGAGCATCCAATACGAGTTAATTCCACACCTGCATTCCTAGTTCCTTCATGGACTGATGTTGGAATTTACAGTCTGTTAACATACCGGCTCGAGTTCATTGAAGCAGAGCATTGTTTTACGTTATTTCCTCGCAAGAATGAAACAACTGCCAAGGATTCGATGTACTAGGCCTGAATTGTGTTTTTCAATTTTGCAAATAATTCCTCTACAGAGTTGGTAAATTTCTAATTTTTTAAAGATGTGTCACGCGCACATCTTAGACTAAATCAGCAGAGTTTGTTGCTCGTCAACAACGTGGGAACTCGAAAGAATAACCCAGATGGTTCCTTTAACTTTTGTAGCTTCTGTTGTACACTTTGCCCTGCGATATCACGCAAAAAGATTGATACCTTTCTGCCCACCTTCATTTCCGCTTTTCTGGACACAGTCTTCGATGTTTCTGTTGCACTTTGTCGATTTGCCGAACGTATTTCTCCGCCGTAATCATGCGAACCCGGGTTAAAGGATTAGTTATAGATTAAACCATCTTTAGGCCAACAAATACTGGCATGGCCTTCTTTTTGTTAATTTTTTGCTCTTGGAAGTACTGCAGAGTTTTATAATGGTCCAAATGCTCAGCGGTCATCGCCGGCTATTGCAGAGGATCAATTTCTTGTGATACGTCACGATACGGTCCAGAAACTGGCCGTTTTCGTTGCTCAGAAGAAGCGGCAGCGATGCCTTAAAGCGACGTTTTCTTTGATTCTCGTCCAATTCGTGGGAAACCTTTTTTGAGATTTTTTTGCTTTCAAATTTTTTTTCAAACTTCAACGGAAGATGGTTGTACCGAGTTCTTGGGCAAGTTGTCTAACACTTATCCATATATTTTTTCCTACTGAAGCCTTCAATTAATCGTCGTGAGTATAAGAATGACACCTGCGACTTTCTCTCCTCCATTTTCAAAGTCTAATTCGCCGTCACAAAATTTTTGAAGCCAACATAACATTGTGTGTTCTTAAACAGCTCCTTTGTTCCGTACCTCATTATTGTTTCGAGCTGTTTGCACTGCGATCACGATTTTGATTTCCTAGATGTTGAATTGTCGAAATTCCTGCTTTGACATCTGAAATTTTGACCCTCACAAGCAGTATTTATATTTGATTATACGGAGCGTAGAAGTGAATAGTAAGCCATTCGACTATTATCCATGTATATTCTCCTACTGAAGCCTTCAACATATGCAAGAAATGTGGTCCTACTATCCCACATCTATTTCCAAGCCTTCTAAGCATTCAACATTTTCACTAATAAGTGGCTGGAAGTCTTTCATGTGGTCAAAACTAATGTGTTTAGCAGTTGTACACTTTTTAACCATCATGTTACGTCAAACTACCAAAGTAAGAATTGGCGAATTGGTACGACAGCCATGATTCATTTGAGAATGGTCAATAACAGAGCTGTGAAAGACGTATGCAGTGATATCTGTTCTCTATATGGAAATGGTGGCTGCCTTGATATGGAGTTAGATCGCCTTCGGTTTAAAGTAATAGTAGACGCTAATGTGGGACCACTTGACGGTTTCTATTGTTTAGTATTCCAACAAATTTTTCTCTACCTGCAAGAGTGCCCCATTGTCTCACCACCGGGTCACTGTGTAATTTTCTGATTCTGGACCACTATGTAATTTTTTCAATGCCGAACAATGTCTGAAAAACATTAATTAGAGCATCGTGGTCCGAATATGGCAGAGATACCCCAAATTAAAAGAAGATTAGTGTTTCCAAGGAACAGTGTTCGATTATCTATTTCATAGCATTTCGTAAATATTTTCTGAAAATATATGTCATTACAGGTTACACCTAAAAGCTCTTCAAAGAGATTGAAAGCGGAGAACATTGATAAAGGGGAAGAGATGGTTTCAAAGAATTCCGTGCGTGAAATGATGCCAAAAACCACTGTGCAAAATTCCATACCAGTGCAAAAGGACCTGAAAACACCTGGAAAGACGAACCTTGGGACACAGAAATTCCTTTCTCCTGAGTTGATAACCACTGATCCATTGAGGAAGTCCGCTTCCTGCGAAACAATAAACACACTCACTAACATCACTTCACTTGTAAACAGACGCCTTCATAGCACAGATAATTTGCTTGAAAAACCTGCTGTCAGCCTAACATCTGCAGCAGCCGAAAACAAATCTATATCAGCAGAGCAGCCGACACTAAGGACTGAGAATAAGCCAAAAAGATCCAAACATGAAAAGAAGCCACTGTCAGCTGATTCCACTGCTGCGAGGACATCTCATCAAACAACGGCGGTGAATACGAAATCAACGACAAGCAAGAAGAAGTCCACTATCCCTTCGTCAAAAAATGCTTCGGGCCCTAGTATCAGTCTTGACGAGACCAAAATTACTGATAACAATTTGCATGTTTCGTGCTCTGGGAAGACACCATCTAAAAAAACGGGTCTAATATCAAACGAGGAAAGATCATTGGGTACGAGGAAGTCTTCAGCTTCGGAGGCAGTAATAAACGTTCCTCCGAAGAAAACAGTACTGGAAGCGCCAAAAATTACCTTTACTGACGTCGACAAATGCTCTTCAACTCGGATGCAGCGCTTCGGAAGCACCGAAAGTGGAGATAGCGCAAAAGAAAATCTAAATATGGAAGAAAAAAAGCCTATACGACAGGTGTGTAAATCTTAGAAAATGTTAACTATTCAGTAGCTATATTCATTAATATGATCTTATAAACTAATTTTATGAGCTGATGCGAGGTTGGTATAGGTTTTCGTTGTCGTTGTCGTTTTTGCTGGAGTTGTTGGTCGATGACTGACGTTTCGGCGATTTCGCCTTCTTCAGAGCCTGGACTAATTTTACGTAACATTAGCCTTACATTCGGTGAAATATCTATAGTGTTAATAAAGATTAAACATATAATTAAATGCCATGTTGATCAAAAAGGTTACTCAGCATGCTGTTGCGAGTGGGACTGGCCCACGGACTGTTCAAGTGGGTTCGCAAGCGAGACCCAAGCAGGTCAAAAAATCGTTTTGAACAAAGGCACTAGGGCATTTTATAATGAGGCATTCGTCTTTCTGATTCATCTTCGGATTTTTGAAATTGAACCAGAACGCCTCAAGAGTCTTGCGCGTTGATGTTTTCGATTCTTGCGCTAAGATCCGCACAGTCATTTCAAAACCATCGCCATTGTGTTTTTGAGCCCTGTGGTACTGCTTTGACGAATTTTTACTTTCCCATCTAGGTGTTCTATTATGCAGATACAAAGCGGTCTACCCGTTTCCTCAATGTATTCCTCACTGCACGACTTACATGAGATCAAGTATATTGTACCAGAATTCATGGAATCCCCGTCTCTCCCGTTTGGAGAGTTCATGCAGCTTTATGAACTGCACAAACGACCATAGAAGTGGTTGCGAACAAGCTGACGGCATAGAGTATTGGGTGGGAGGTCAATAATCGTTACATAGTTTCCAAGACCACTTTTTCTTAAGCATCTCTAAATGGCGCAACTTACTTTATCTGATATGAAGGGTAGCTTAAAAGGGACCTTACTTACGTCCGAAACATTATTTTGGAGAACTACTCTACGTTTTTGTCTAACCCGAGTGGCTGCTGCTTCGTAGCCGTTGGAAATGGCTATTTTTCGTGCCAAATTTAGCGATTCCTTCCTTTCCTCTTCTCCTGTGCACACAATTTACCCGTTCGATAAATGCTCTTAATGAGTACTTTTTTCATGTGTGAAAGATGAGAGGAGAGGTAGTGAATTACTATATTTTTACTACTTGGCTTACGATACCATTTTGTTACACAGCCACTTTCTGAGAGCTTTATTTGGATGTTTACGAATGAAAGCCAGTTCTTGGTTTGCTTTCTCCGCATGAAATTTATATACTGTGGCTGCCTATTTAACATGTCAAGGCACTCATCTATCTGTTCAAAAATGTGTGCGCAGGGGAAGAGGAAAAGAGGGAATCGCTAAAGTTGGCGCCAAAAATTGTCATTTCCGATGGCTACGAAGCAGAAACCACTCAGACCAAGGTCAGAAAAAAAAGTAGAATTGTTTCCCAAAATAATATTTCGAATGGAAATAAGATCCCTTTTAAGCTACGCTTCATACCAAATGAAAGAAGTTATGCCACTAAGAGTTGCTTAAGAAAAAGTGGCCTTGAAAACCATGCAGCGATTACTGACCTTCTAGCATTGCCCTACACCGTCAGTTAGCTCGCAACCACCTCTCTGGTCGTTTGTGTGGCTTAGAAAGCTGTATAATCTGGTCTAAGGGGAAAGACGGGGATTGCATGAGTTCCGGTGCAATACACTTGATCTCATGTAAGTCGTGCGGTGAGGAATACATTGGGAAAACGGGTAGACCGCTTTGTGTCCAGATAAAAGAACACCTAGATGAGAAAGCCAAAATTTGTCAAAGCACTCCTCTAGGACACATAGGGCACAAAAGCGCAATGGCGATGTTTATGAAATGAATGTCCGGATCCCAGCGCAGGAATCGAAAGCATCAACGCGCAAGACTCTTCAGGCGTTTTAGATCAATTTCAAAAATCCAAAGATTAATCGGGAAGGCAAATGTTTCCCTATCGCACGTGACCTGGCACCCTATTTCAAAATGAATTTTTGACCTGGGTGACTCTCTCTCGCGACTCCACGTGAACAACACGCAGGCCAGTCCCACTCTTAACAGCACGGTGAGTAGCCTTCTTGATCGACATAGCGTTTATTTAAAAGTTTGATGTTCCTTAAAACCGTGGATACTTTACCTAATATAAGACTAATGTTAAATAAAGTACGTCCAGGCTCCGAAGAAGGCGAAATCGCCCAAACGTCAGTCATCAACCAACAACACCAACAAAAACGACAACGATAACGAAAACCTATACCAACCTTGCATCAACTCAAAAACATCAGTTTATAAGATCATATAAATAAATATATCAACTACTAACGCCAAGGTTCATAAGAAGTCGGCCTTTTGGATTATTTAATAGCTTCTACAGTTCATATCTGCATTTGAAATCTGTTTTGGCCTTATTCGAAAAAATCTAGGGTGCCCTTCGAAAGAAAGAGAAGGGTGATGAAAATCTTGCCATCATTACGCAACCTCCACTTGTTTCTTCGACTCAGCCAACGACGTTGTCTGCATCGCTTCCAAAAAAACAGGCCGATTCGGATGTTTCCATACGACCGCAAGAAGCTCCTTCCGAAACGAAGCCGGTAATTAAGTGCTGCATTTCCCAATGTCTTCAACACAAAGGCAAATATGGTTGTAGGAAAACCACCATTCACAAAATTTTAGATTTCACCCAGACCTGGAAGTTCTATCCATGAGAGACTGTTAAAACTTAATGCTTGTGTTGCTCCAATATCGGTCAATGTGGTCTCTGATTCGAAACAGCATCGGAATGATCCGAAAAGTGAAGGCAAGTTTACTATTCTTTATATTTCCTCACTGTTCAAAGTTAAATAATAAAGTTTAAAGCCTAGAAAGCTATTGTTACTTGTTAATGAAGAAGATGAACGCCAGCAACTGCTTATCAATTATAACTTCATCACACTTTAGAGAAAAACCGTTTATGAAGTTTATTCGGATCCCTCAAATACTATGACTTGCAGAAGCACGAAAACCTGAGAAGAATTTAGACAAGTTGGGTCTGAAAAAGAGTGACACTGAAACATCCAGAACAGCTACATCATGTGAAGCAAGTACGATTACGAGGAATACGATCTCAGATAAGGTAGAGGTTAAATTCATAGTTTATTTTTCTCAGCGCTTTCAATAACATAAAAAGCCAACACCTCGAACCTCTTCGGGCTATTCGGTAGAGAGTGTTATTAAGGTAAGATTAGTCCTTCCACCGAAAATATGAGGATTCTGTTTTATATTCTGTATATGAGCAATGTGATTTTTGAACTATACATTGCCGTTCGATGGTATATAGAGTGAAGGTGCATATCTTGCATGTAAAGTGTTCCATTAAACTTTTAGGGCCGTATTCTGCACTCTTGAATGCGTCGTGTAGACTATTTCGTGAACTCACTACAAAACTTTTAAGATTCTGCACTCGCTTTTAAGAAAATTTCAAAGCAATTTGGTACCATTACAGATCTAAAACAAGAGCTTGGAAAGTATATTAAAATAGAGTTTACATATAACACAACAGCTACAAAAATTTTAGGTCCCAGTACCAAGCAAAATAGGAAGTGTCATCGATGGAAAAATATTTAAGATTGATAATGGTGCTCTTCGCCCTGCAATACACGTTACTTCAGATCTGAACCGCCAACAGAAAATAATTCAAGAGACTGAAGGTAGGTGTCCTTAGAATTCAGAATTAGCTCACATTTTTCCCACTTTTCACATATGGGATTATAGCACAATCTTTTTTCCAAAAACGTTTTGACACAGGTCAGCGTAATGGAAATACACTAGTACATATTGTAGTGTATTTTGAAGAAGCACAGTCACAAACGAAGTTGGAAGAGCAGAAAAAATCTAGAGTGTTGCCCATGACGATGGAAAGTAAAACGACTACAACCACGCTAACGTCAACAAGCACGAAAAAGCGAAAAACGAGCATGGAGAAGAAGGTTTGAGAAACCTTCGTTAAGAAAATAATGAAGACACTTGGATTTATGGTCAACGATTCCACTTTTCATTTCTTCTTCGAGTACACTATTAAGGTGCAACACGTTTCTCCAGGGAAAAGTGTCGAAGAGGTGGAAAGGTCGGCTACGGAGCAGGACAACAGCAATACTTGCCAGGTATAATTTAAGAATAGAGCATAATATTGCAAAGTTAATGCAAAGCAAGGAAAAATTCGGAAAGATAAGTTCTTGTCGAAATGTTTCAAACACGACTTTTTGCTTGTTAAGATTTTCACTCATTTCTGCAACAGAAGCTATTCGTTGTCTCGCTATAGTTATAAACTTTATGTGGAAATATTTGCAAGTACAAGAGCAACAGTGTAAAAATAATCTTTGGTCGTTTTCGAGAAGTTTTCAGTTACAAACTATTCAGTTATAACCTATGCAAAGGAATAGCAACCATTGTGTATATCGTGTATCGCGAGGTGTACCACATAGTCGTCCTAAAAGGACAAATCATTAAGCATTCGGCATTGATCCATCCCAGTGGAAGTAATATGTATCCGGCTCCATTCATAGAATCCTTGAGCTTATAAAATGCATTTTGGCTTATACAAAAACATTCGGGATCAATTCAGTGTTGGTATCCTCAGAACCAAGTCTGAAGTCAATTTTCCGACCCAGGATGCAAGGCTGAGGGACAGAATGAGCCCTGGAACAGGATCGAGCCAGCGAGCGATCGAATATCTATTACAGGGACATCTATCCACTGCGATAAATACGTCAGCCGTCGCCATCATAGTTGATAAAACTTAGTTAAATTCGAATTTATTTCTAAGCACGTATTTTCCACATGTTCACTGAGATTTTCGACTCGCTTCCTTTTTAACAATCTGACCTGAAATTGTTTAAATGGAATATCGGCTGCTTTTTTATGGTGCCTAAATATTTTCCATTGATTCTGTTATTGTGAGATTCGCAACCAGATTACCGTGATCAAAGCGGAGCCGAAAGGAGTACCAAAAGCTAGAACGTTTACGATGAAGAACGTCATGAAGGAAGAGTCCGTGCGTTCAACTGATGACAAGGAGCGAATAGAAGAAAAAAACACGGATTCGAAGAAGAAGAAGCGTACAACACGAAGTGCAGTAGTAAAAACAGCAGACAAAGTGACTATAGGAGGATATTCTGAAGTAAGCCGCCACATTAAATCTTATCGATCACTCAACACAAATAGTTTTTATAAAAAGATATTTAAGCTGGGTGGGAAACCAACTAAATTAGGACCGACTGGAACAAAAAACGTTTTTAAAAAGATGTCAGAGCACTCGGAAGTTGACAACGATGCAGAAGGAAAACCCGCTACAAATACGGAAACGGTATTTGTTGAGAAGGTACCTTTTCCACTAACTTCAGTATTCGTCATACTTTTGAAATTCCAGATAAAGACTGCTCTCGATGTTGAGAAAAATGCAAAGCACAGCTCTCTCATATCGACAGTAGTGACTAAGGTGCAACAGTTTTGGGACATAAAAATTTTTATCATAAATGCTGTTATTGCTTCGTTGCCAATATCTTTTTTTGTTTTTGAGGTCGCAACAAAACTAGCTTCAAGTCAATCAAGAAGTTCAAATGAATATATAAGAACTAATCCGCAAATGAAATTTGAGTGCAAAAATGATCAGCCGAAGTCCAGTTCCACAAAAACGAAAAAAGTCTTCTTCTTCATTTTTATTCTCGTTTTTTTCACAAATTGTTAGAATTCTTCCCACAATGCCTTCAGCTTGTAGGAATGAATTTTGTCGTGAAAACTGTAGCAAAATTTGTAGAAAGTTTCCGTCATTTTGCGTTCTCCTTAGTGAAGAAGAAAAGGTCGTGAGGATAAGAAACGAGAGCTCACCAATACTAATGTTAAGTGTTTCATTTTCCATTGTTTTCTTTTGCGTTCGCGTTGAATTTGAGGCCAGCGGACTTACAGTAATGTTTCAAGTGCGAGCACTTAATAGCACTCATCCATATCTTTTTAGGTTTTTCCATTATTTTTGAAGCGTTAGATCTCCTTAAGCAGAACACCTAAATTTTATCTGCTTCCCTCTGCAAAATACTCTAATGGCAAAACAAGCCAGTAGAAAACTTAGGCGATAGGACATCTCTATGAGACCAACCAGCCTCTTAAACATAGTCTTTTCCTTTCCCGTTTTTCAAGATAATTCTAGCTTTTCTTCTGCTTGCTTATTCTTAATGTCTGTCGTTCTATGTCAGTTTTTTAAAAGATTTCACTTTCTTTATTTTTCTTATTATGATAACACAATAGAATGAGAGAATGAATGAACGAGTAAGGAAAAAAATTCTTTTGACTACTAGTTTTAATTTCTGAAAATTTTTTCGCAACTAACTTTATTTGTCGCATTGATGTTCAGGGAAGCACGAAACCGTCGGAATCCATGTCACATACATTGGAGACCATCAGTACAATTCCGGTGACAGTTACCAAGTCCACTACAGTAGAACTGCATCGCACTGACAATGTTGCTACTGCAAAGAAAAAGCGATCGACTATTACAGGCACTTCAGAGGAACGCTCTCAACACATTCCACGAGATGATTTCTCATTCACCTCCCTCAGGGAGAAACTCGTTCGCCGTCTCAGCACCGATTCGGAGAAATTCTCTTCGACGGTTAAAAGCCAATGCATATCAATTCCTACTGTGAACTCTGTTCGAGACCGCATGAAACGGTTCGAATGCAGAAATTAAGGAATCTTAGACTGCCGATTTTGCTTTATTCTATTTTTTCTCCTTTTCCATGGAACATGACTGTTTAATTTTCTAACGTTCTCATTGTTGTACGACTTTTCTAAATTTCTACTTTTCTGGTAAGGGTCATTTTGTGTTAATGTTTTCAATTCCTTGAATGCTTTCTATCTGGTGCGGCAGTGTGATTTGTTAAAATTACTGGTCTACTCTGCTATTTTTGCCTCGACGTTTGTCGCCATGCCACGTCTCTATCTATGCTGTGTTATTGAATTTATTAGTTTATTATTATAGCTAACGAGGTGTTTTTCACATACTAGGGAAGAAAGGTTTGAGTATTGATGAAAAAAACTTGGGTAATAAACACTTTGTGTAGGTCATTTAGGTAAAACGTTTTTAAAATTATTTTTTATAGTATGAATGCTTTTAGAAATTAAATGTATCAGTGTAGAAGGTTGAAGATTGACAGACGACAAGATACTGCTTGCTTGTATTACCATTGACTGGACAATCCTATCTACTGGAAATTCGAGCGTGCATTTATTTTCGTATACTCCTCACTACAAAATTTATTTATTTTCTTAGCATACATCGTTATATAGAATGATAGTTGGAAGGTTCATATTAAGCCTTAAGTGATTACGTAGTCGAAAGAACTCTCATTAAATAAAAGGATAAAGCTCTCGGCGTTGATTAATCCATGAGGGATGCGCCATGCATTCAACTTCATTAAGCATCGGTGGTGATTGAATGCATATCTGGTCTTTACAGTGACTCGCGGTGGGCTACCAATGTATCAAGGCAGAGCTGCTATCGTTCCAGACAAGTCTGGCACAAAATTGCCGACCCCGGAAGAATGTAGGGCTCTGTGAGCCATGGGCGCAGGTTTGATCCCACGCGTCCGTTGCCAAGCGCCTCCGAAAATTGCGCTACACTCACCCGGAACTCCCACGAATGGATGAAAACCAATTTGAAGTGGAACTGGGATGAGTGGACACACTGAAACTTGTTCTTCTTTAGAAATAATACTATTTCACAGTCGATTTACAAACTTCGTTTTCGCATTCTAGTGAATTCCATTACAAAATGGGTTTAGCCTTTAGGTGGTAAGCAGCGATCACATGTACAAAGTCTAGAAGTAGTTCATTCAAGATGAATAGCGAGGATTTATCTGGAGTCAAAGAACATTGCGTCCTATAAAACTGAACGAAAGAAAAGTGCAATAAATTAGTATTTCCTTAAAACATTAAGCAAAGTGCTTTTGCTGAGTAATGTTACATAAAACGGTGATCATTTAATCTGGTGTGGCTAAAAACTTTTCACAACAAATCGTCAACAAAGTAGATTTCGTCAAACATATATAAAATATACGAACATGGTATTTCATGTTTTGGTTTCAACATAAGCCGTTAACTTCGGTGGCAATCGAATTCCTTATCGAGCAGACTTAATTTTTTTGAGCTTGTTCGTGAGCTAGGCTTGGCTTTCTACATTAACCGCAAGCGACCAACTAGTAACGTCAGTAGTTGCCGCCACAGTAGTCACAATTGTCCTAAAACAATCCTGGCTCCAAGGCAGCAAACTTCCTTACTTTCTATACACGCTGATGACTGACCTCAGGTCTCCAAGGAAAGCCACTCTCGACCAAATGAACGAATGGTGAATCTTTTAAGGTAACGAAACACGTGGAAGAGGTGCTGGGACGACAGAGTATGTAAAAACTAGGCATCAATGTTACATGTTTAAACATGCCCTCGAAATTATGCAAAACAGGTCATTTTAAGGGAAAGCAAGTTTCGTCATTTATATTAAGGCAACTCTTGTTTGTTTCCGTATGGGTTAGGATTTTTGGCTTTCGAAGTTATCTTGATGTAATTTGCCTGCGCGAGAAAAATTTCAACGAGAGGATAAATGCGCCGTCTTCTTATTCAGCAGTCGCGAGGTTGCTATACAGCACGCATTTGCTTCCATACAAAAGCACACAGCACAATTGTAGCTGGTGTTTCGGCAGTATCGCGTTCAGAGCATGGAGCAGTATATTGGTATGTAAATTACTAGGCCAAACGCTTCAATAACACACACAGAAAGGTGTAAGCCTCTAGGGCAATTACATTAACAACAGCATCAACAACATCAATTACATCAACAACATTACATTGGTTATACAACGCGTCCAGTCCACTCTCACTAGCTGCCCAGGTTGGTGAGTAGCAGTTGATGATCCTGAGTTACCTCGAATGGTGGGTAACTGAGGAGTTTACTACACGGCCAACGGCAACGATATTTCGAAGCGGAATTTTCCCTCAATGAATGACAAAGATCCCTCATCAGATTAGCGTACTTCGGCCTTCTTGGTTTTCGTCTCTTATGTGGCGATCACACAAAATTCGATCCAGTTAGCAGTCTCAAAGATTGGAGACTGAAAGTTTATTCTGGGGTTATACGTGCAAAGCAGGAAGCAAACTTCATAGCGTATCATGGACGAGCGAACGACGCCATAGGAGGCGATGCAGAATATGGTTTATTGAGCGTCGGCTCATCAGTTAATCATTGGAGTCCTGAGGCTGGCCTAGCCGTGGCTTCACTCAGGACGGGACCACGGGTACTAGCTGAGCCCATCTGGATCATCGGATGATTTACCAATTTGCAATTACTTTGATACCAGGACGATAGCATCAATTCCTGGTATTTGTTTACTCCTAGCTGAGTTTCGCAATAGAAACGTCAAACTTCTTCTCGGCTTGGAAGAACCTGATGGAGAGATAAACCCCAATACACATCTCAGTTCGACACAAGAAACACAGCCCAGACATGATGAGGAGGAAAACCATTGGGACATTGAGCTTGCCACAGTTCGCTATTGCTTTTAATTGATATCATTAAACGTTCTCATAAAATCACTGTAATCTTCTCCACTTCGATTTTCCAAGGCTTCTTCGATCTATGCCATCTACACTTTGCTTTACTAAATATCAAGCGAAACTATTATTTTCATAATAATATCATTAATGTCACTGAGTGTTTCTGCCGCCATCCATGTGTACTTCATAACCTCTGCTTGCTTTGAGTTAAATCTTGGTTTAGGCTAGGTTGAATGCCATTTTAGGTCACTGAGCTGCAGCTTCGACGTCTGCTTTACCTCCTTCTTTCTCTTTCTTTCTGCTTTTCTTTCTTCTTTTTGTTTTTTTCTTGCGCTATCCCCCTTGCCTTTCTTTCTCGCTCTCTTGCAGCACTTTTTTCCCATCTATTGCATCTTTCATTTTCATGAATGTCTTCATCATTCACGTTATCGGTGATGTCTTCTGTAACGAACATGAAGTTGCTGTCTTATCCACATCCATTACACTTGGTATGTCGACAAAGAAAATTGTAAAGCGGTAATGTACTGGTAATTATTCCTTCTTCCTTTCCGCTTCGAGCTTTCAAATCGCTCACCGAGACTTTCATATCGATCAAAGCACTTTTTTTTACTTCATACAGTGATGGGAAAAAACTTGTATAAGCGGCGCATTTATCAGCCACTCACTCTATGTAATGGCTTTCTGCAAGCTCTTCACATTTCGTTAACCTCTTTGTTCTCATACCTCCCAACGGCTCACCATCTCATCGTGGCTGGAAGGTGTTCCTGGCTGCACAGCGGAGGTAATAATCCCCACCAGGGTCTCCCAAACTGAGAAGGAGTCAACGTTCCTACTAGGAAGGCCAGCTAGGAGCAAACCAATACGAGAATTCACTACCGTTCTGGTATCAAACTAGTCTCATGGTGACAAATCCCCTAGGCGGCAACTGCCTCTGGTGATGATCATGTGGGGCAGACTTTGGTTAGGCTGGCCTCGAGACGCTAGGGAATCGCAGTGGCTAGACCAGTAAAACTCCGAAAGAAATGGAAATTATGTTGGGTTCCGCACAGCCAGTGAAGTTGGGCCCCCAAGTATCCAAATAAGTAACTATATTCTCATATGAATCGTAAGGCGTTATGCGTAGTTCACCGAATTACATTTTCCCATAGTCCCCTATCCTGCAAAGCAGTCAACTGGAACGACCCACTAGCTCTAGATAGTTGCAATTTAATTTAAAATATTTGCTACGAGGTGTACTCTATAGGATCATATAAGCGAATGAAAAATAAAGAGTTAAGTGTTGAGCAATCTCTGAGGAATGCCTTATACATTCGATTTCGCCAAGCATCGTTAGAGGTGGATGAACGTATATCCAGCCCACATAATGTCTTCTACGAGCTTACCCGATGTATCAAATGGTCTTGAAGGAATGGAGGGTATGGTAAACTGCTGATGCGGTATCGAATAGGATTGATTCAGTGGATATTGCAAGGGAGCTCTAACTCCAACTACTTCGCTACATACACCTCAAAGGAGTGATGCGATGCAAAAATAATTGCGGCTTTTAACATAAAAGCAACATCGTACAGCTCACAGTGACTTATTGCATTAGTTGGCTCAATGGAATATAGTTCAGTAAAGCTGAAGGAATAAATTGTTTCAGTTAGTTTAATATGAAATGTTGGCTTTCCTAGGATTTGCCAGACAGCACTTTCTGTTACTGCTTTACAGCATTTCGCAATTTTGCACAATTAAACCTTTATTTAAGCCAAATTAATATAGCGATAACAACGCAATGAGATTAACGTTGTAGAAGGCTTATATCGCTTTCGAAATAGCTTGCAAGCACTAACGATTATTAGCAGAGTATCACTTGTATCACCTGTAGTCCCGTTGACCGTCGAATGACTCCGACGGGCGCCAGTAGAACCTCCATTTTTCCCTGTCGCGTGCACGAGTAGCCCAGTGGGTCATGCTCGCTCCAGGAACTCGTTGAGCATCATATCTTTCTTCCAGGTTTTTTTTAACATCTCTGACCAGTGCGTCGGTGGTCTTCCTGCAGTGCGTTTGACATCCCGAGGAATCCAGTCACTAACGGCTCCTTCTCATCGGTTGTCGTTCATACACATTAGGTGTCCAGCCTACCTTATCCTCGACTATTTG